TGGGTATCATACAATGTGCTGGGGTACTTCAGTGAACAAAAACAGACAAAATTTACTGCCATCATGGAAGTTATTTTCCAACAATACATAGAATGTTAAATGATGGCAAGGGCTAGGGAGAAAAATAAAGCAGAGATGTGGAAAGGAGATGCCCAGGTGGGTGTGTGCCCTTGTCTGGTCTTACTGTGTGGAAACACAGCGTAAGCACTCTTCTTATTTTTCCTGGGAAGTTTGTGTTGAGCACACAAAGCTCTTATCCTTCCCTTCTTTGTCCCTTGGTCATCTCATCCAGTACCCTGGCTTTCCTTGTTCATTTTATGTCATTTATCCTTGAACTAGCGTGTTTACATCTTACCTTCTCAGTTTGCAATTTCCACTTTCCTACCTCACAGTCCCCCATGGGTTGTTCTGTGGGCATCATAAACGCAACACATCCCAAATCAAATGTATCTTCCCTCCAAAAATCTTGTCCTTCTTTTTTTTCTCTTGCTGTAATGACGTTATCATGAACTCAGTCATGCAGTTCAGAAATTTTGGAGTCATTCTTGATTCCTCCTAAATCGGTACCTCTAATTGGACATCAAGCCCTCATTAATTTTCATTCCAAAATTCCTCTTCAGTGTCTCTCTCTTACTCATGTATTGCATTATTCTGTCAACTTTCTGAATACCTGCTTTCCAGATACTATGCCAGATGCAAAAATTCAAAAAGGAATCAGACAGTAAAGCGGTAGAGGCTAAGGTACAAGGAGACAGATTTTCCTAGCCAAGTGTGGGCACAGAGAGGATCAACAAACCGGTCGCATCTGTGGAAGTCAGAGTGGTGGCAGTGGTTGAACTAGGTCTTGAAGAAGGGGTACATGTATGGCAGGAAAGAGAGTAGATGAATCAGAGAATTTTCAAAGGACTCAGCATGTTGGGAGAACGGTAAGAAGGTTGGAGTGACTGTGTAAGAAATGTGCACAGAGTACACTGACAGAGCATGAGTCTGAGGATGACTTCGAGTTCCCTGGTTGGGAAGGACTTCATTAACAGAGGTGAAGAAGGGCTAAAGAAATTTTTGGTGAGCTGAGTTTGACATGCCCATTAGTCATCCAGGATTATCCAATAGGCAGCTGGAGTGGGAAACGGAAGTTGAAAAGACAGGTCGGTACTAGGGAGAAATACCAGTGTGACGGTGGCTGAAACCCCAGGAAAGGACGGTAAACTCCGAGAGCAAGAACCAAGGAGGAGGCACCGGAACCAGTTGCCCTCTTTTTTCGCCTCCACTGCCCTGGTCCGCTGGTATCTCTTCCCCCCTGCTTCCTCTCCCACAGTCTTCCTCTAAGTCTTGCCACAGGAAGTTACTTAAAGCACAATCTGAATATGTTAGTCTCCACCCAGAAGCTTTCAGAATAAAGTGCAGATTCCTTAGCTTTGTCTTTAAGGCTCTTCATGTTTTGTGCCAAATGTATTGTTCCATCTTCATTTCCAAATGTTCCCTTCTGGCCACTCCCCCTGAATAGGTCAACCACTTTCATCTCTGAGTTTTACTGTGCCATTTCCTCTGCCCAGAAGGCAGTAAAATATGGCTTTGGAGTCAGAAATATTTCTATTTAAATATTGACCGACTTATTCACTAACTAGAGGTATTAACTTGAGCAATTTGTTGAATCCCTCTGAATCTGCCTCCTCACATGCTGGAAGGTCAGGTGGTAGTTTTGCAATTATAGCAGCATGTTTAGACATCTTTTCTAATTGTCAGCATAAATAGGTGCTCAATAAAAAGTAGTGTCTTTTTATTATCATACATCTTGTTACCACTTGCCATAGTCATGTTTCATGCCTCTTTGAGACCTTTTGACATGTACCTAAACAGCAGTCATTTTGCCCTCCTTCATGCTTTCTTGGCAGTTTATACCACTTGAGAATATAACACAGGGTATCAGTTTCCTCTACCACATTACAGATTAATTGATATTGTTTTTATAGTCCTTTTTATAGTCCTTGCAACAGGTAGGTAATTATTTCGGTTAATTCTGGGAAATCTACCTTAACATTTTCTCTTTCTCTTTATGGTAATAGCCCTATCAAGATATAATTTACATATGTTACAACTCAGCCATTTAGTTTACAATTTAATAGTTTTAGTATATTCAGAGTTGTACAAACATCATCACAATCAATTTTGGAACATTTTTATTGCCCCCAAAAGAAACCTCATGCCTTTTAACTATCACTGCCCCACTTTCCCCAAACTTTCATCCTCCTCGGCCCTGGGCAACCATTGATCTACTTTCTGTCTCTATAGATTTGCCTGTCCTGGACATTTCATGAAAATGGAATCATACAATATGTGGTTTTTGGTGACTTGCTTCTCTCACTTAGTATGCTGTTTTCAAGATTCATGTAGCATGAATCAGTACTTCATTCCTTTTTATTGCAGATATTCCATCGTATGGATATACCATATTTTATTTATTTTGTCGTCTGTTGATGAACATTTGGATTGTTTCTAGTTTGGGGCTATTATGAATAATGTTGCTGTGAACGTTCATGTACAAGTTTTTCTGTGGACATATGGTTTTATTTCTCTTGAATATATACCTAGAAGTGGAATTGCTGAATCATATAGTTAATCTAGGTTTAATCTTTTGAGGAACTGCCAAACTGTTTTCCAAAGTAGGTGTGCTATTTTAAATTCCCACTGGTAGTGTGTAAGAGTTCCAATTTATCCACCAGTGTCAACACTTGTTATTATCTGTTTTTTATTACAGCCATCCAAGTGGAATAGTATTTTATTAGTGAAATATTCTTAATTCATTTGATCACTATTTTATTCAGTGCCGACTATGTATGAGGAAGTATTCTAAGCTATGGGGGCCATTGGTGAATAAAAGAGACAAATATGTATCTGCCTGTGGACACACAATATATAATAAACAGCATAAGTTCTTATCTAAGTTCCTAGAGAAAATGACATTCCTTTCTTCTGTGCTGATTAGCAGTCCAGCTTTTTCTTACACAATCATATTTACCTCTTTACCTTAAACTTGTAGTCCTATTTAATTTAGCAGCTTTGATATAGCTATATTCACTCTGATAGGAGGTGATAAGCACTATGGGAAAAAGAGGAAAATAGGGAATGAGTGATCAAGAGTGTTGGCAAAAGGGAAGGGACAAGCTGTAGGATTAAATAGGGTGATGAAGTTAAGCCACATGGAGAAGGTGAGATTTGAGCAAAATCTTGAAGGTGAGTTAGTCACAGAGATACCAGAGAGAAGACTGTTGTGGGCTGATGAAATAGTCCAAATTCCTGGAGCAGAGCTGTGTGTGAAGGAACAAGAGGCCAGTGTGGCTGGATGAGAATTAGCAAGGTAGAGGATAGATAGTAGGAGACCAGGTTAGAGAGGCTAAAGGGCCAAGTCACTTAGGGTTGATTGAGCAAGTAGACCTGCATGGGATATACTTACACTCAACAATGATCCACGGTTTATCTGAAATTAAAATTCAACTGTAACTGTATTTTATCTGGCAACTCTACTCATAGACCATTGCAAGGACTTTGACCTTTACTCTTAGTATGTGAGAACCACTATAAGGTCTGAAACAGAAGAGACCCACCATCCTACTTAGGTTTTTAAAGGTTCACTCTAGCTGCTGTGTGGTGAACAGGCTCTAGAGAGCAAAACTGGAAATACGAAGATTTGGGAGGCTATTGCAGTAATCCAGATGAGAGGTGATAATGGCTTAGGTGAGAGTGTTAACCATGGAGGTGGCAAGAAGTGATCATGGTCAGGGCATAGGTTGCAGGTAGAGCCAAAATAATTTCAGCATGAGTTGGATGTGAGTGGCAGAAAGAGGATTTAAGGATTATGGCTCAAATTTCAACTTGAGCAACTGGAAGGAAGGAGTTGCTGTGGAATGAAGAAAAGGACTATGGGTGGAGCAGGTTTGGGGAAGATGATAGATGTTATTTATTTGAGGCATGCTGAGCTGGTAATAGGTCAAACAAACAAAAGGTAGCATAGCCATCAGCCAGCTAAATTTTATACATAAAATATCTAATATTACATTAAAATATCCAAAAATATAATTTAAAAGGTTACCCTTTCACTGGGGGCAGGTATTTTTACTTACTGTTCTTCGTATCTTATTATTTAAAGGGTCTTCTTCATGCCTGATATGTCAAATTAACTTTTTCTTTCTTTCTTTTTCTAAAAAAATATGCTTAGGAAAAGAGTAGCCAGGATTAGAATTCCATCTCCTGGCTTGTCCTCCAATATCTGAACTGCCAAACCAGACTGAATCCCAACATCCCATTTTACTTGGCAATCGAATTTGTTTTTCCATAGATGTTTTTCATCATCTACATTCATTCCTTTCATCCACTCTTCAACCTTTGAGACCAAAGAATCTTACTGCCCAGATCCAGCTGAAAATATGCCCTGGAAATTGATCAGACCATCCCCTCCCCCAGACGCCTGGAACTCAGTAGTCCCAGGGACTGGTTGAGGCAGAGCCCTTTTTATGTTCAGGGCAGAGATCGCCGTGGACATTCACTTGCCCCTTCATTGATGACAAGTGGTTTTGAAGAGAGAACTCTCTCGGCTACCTTCTCTCTTTTTGCCCAAGTTCCTGGATAAAATGACTTTTTTTTCTGTCTTGATTAGCAAATGGGCTTTTCTGGCACAATCGTATTTTTACTTCTCAGTAAAAATCTAGTTTCATTTGACAATTTTGATGTGACTATATTTAAAATGATCTGCAAATTTTACATCTGTAATAGCATTATACATTTCCAAGGATCCATGGGAGTCAAATGTAGGTTGGGAAGAAATCTGTAAACTATGACCTTTTTTTGGAGGTCTTACGTACTGTGTTGTTTTTAATCCTGACGCTTTAAATTGGCACACTCTTACAGAAAGTGTTTTTTCATGTAATTACTGTTTTGCTTTTATGCAAGGAGTAAGTGCTTATTAAATGACAAATGACATGTGTTTTGTTTCCTGTGTTTTGCAGGACTTGAGAGGGACAAGTTTGATAATAAAACTGTTTCGTTTGAAGAGCACATCAAGTCAGAACACAATATGTGGCATTATTTGTACTTCCTAGTCCTCGTGAAGGTGAAAGACCCAACTGAATACACTGGACCCGAAAGCTATGTGGCTCAAATGATCGTGGTGAGTGATCAGAGGATTTTAATGTGCAACTGTATTGTATTTTGTATGCTTTTACCTTCTCTACCCTTCTTCTCTATTCTCCCAAAATACAAAGGTTCTAGCAATTATTCAGTTAACTTTTTAATAAGACAGCCAGTCACGGAAGACTCCCTATGCTGGCTGAGTCTTCGATTCCCAGTGGACTTCCTGGTTATACAATCCTGACCTAAGTCTCAGGTGTGCAGATGCTATTTGCTGAAGAGTTCTCTGTGCAAGTGCATAGCGCCATCTCACTCCTGTCGTCATCTTCCGACCTCATACCTCCTGTCGTTGCTCTGGCCCAATTCCAAAAATCTGGAGCTTTCCCATTGGCAAATATGCACAGAAGATCCAGACTGTAAGAAATTCCTTGAATTTCAGAAATCAGGGGTTTAAGAAATTGAATTATGTTCAGGAAGAGTATGATGTTCACTCTCAGTGGGAGAACACTGCGTGGCTGTACAGTTTGCACTGCTGGTGATAGGTTTACACTGGCCCTGCCCTGTCCAGGTGCTGTGTGTCCTCAGTAAGATCCGTTGCAGAGGCTGTGCTTGCCGTTGCTTCCAAGTTCCATCTGTTTTGTAGAAGGTGAAGCGAACCGGCTTAGAGAGACGCCAAAGTCACAACTTTAGTGTTATCGTGACACATTTGGTGAATAGCAATTGCGCCTGATATAAATTCTTACATATTCTTATGATAAACATAGTATGTTGGATATTTTTTTCTCATATATCAGCCGACAAAATTGTGTTCACCCTTTGAGAATGAGGCCTTAGAAGAGTCATGATCCTCTCGGCTGCTCAGTCCCAAGAATGACATTCAGTAAAGCGCCGCCGCTGCTGCTGCAGCCGCTGAGCCAGGTAACCGCGGCCCTGCGTGCTTCCCTCTGGGAGCCTAGTGCCCACTTAGACGTAAACTACAATGGAGGAAGCAGCCAAAGAGCCTTTCTGAAGGGCAGCATATTAGTAAGTGCAAGTTACTGTGGCCGTAGCTGGCCTTACCTGACAGTATTTATGGTATAGGTAAATTGGACTTTCAGAGTTCATGCTTTTTTATTATTGACTTGCATCCTACTATAAATAGTTTTCTCTACATTCTTAATATGACCGTGGGCAGAACCTAACATTGTTTCTTTTTTTCTCCTCATTTCTGTTTGTATCCTTTCTCCCTTATGAATTAGGAGAAAAGGTAGTCATTTTGATGATACGCATTCACAGTCATTACGTATATATTCTCGATCTCAGGGCGCTCAGAGACCATCTGTGGGAAACATTTTGTTTCCGCTTGCTGGGGAAAAAACCATGGAAAGCATCACACTTAAAATGTCACCTCACATTGCTATATTTTATCAAACTTTGAGGAAATTTAAATTTGTATGGGTTGGGGGGCAGCCATTATGTCCCTTGGAATAAAGATTTCAGGGAATTCACTGAAGAGTCTGATAGATCCCTTCTGTGCAAAGGAATTTAGAGCTTAGGGAGAGGGAGAGGGGAATATTAAAACACAAGTAGAATAAGCTAAATTCCCCCAGAGTAGAACAAATAAAAATCTGTGAAGGCTGAAAGATGTAGAGTGACATTCAGCTGGGAGGTGGTGGAGGGGAATTGGCAGTGTGTGTGTGTGTGTGTGTGTGTGTGTGTGTGCTGGGTGCAGCACAGCAGACATGGTAGGATTGGTGCAGATTAGGGGTGTCCCCTGGATTAAGAATGAGTTCCTGTAAGAGGGAACAGCCTGAACAAGGCCTGAAAGTGACATGCAGACACTAAGCGGAGTAGTTAGCTGCCTGGCTTCACGGGCACACAGCACACCCATAAGGAAGCTCTGAGAGATACTGCAGGAAAAGTAAATGTGACTTTTGAGTAATAAGTATAGGTGTTAAGACATTATTTCATCAGCAGTGCGAAGTCACTGGCAGTTCTAACAAGGGAATACTGCAGCCTTGAATCGTAGCTAGCCAGGCTACCAAGGCTGGTCTGGAGAGGGGAAGGATGAAGTCAGAGGTGGCATTTGGCCGTCAGTGCTATTAGGGGTGGGGGCCTGGGAGGAGGAGGGCAGGTGTAGGACCACAGGATGAGCTGACCTGGGGTCACGATCCCAGTCACTGGGGGAAGGTGGCGCACTGGCTTCAGGAGGGCTCTTTGTTAGAAAGAGAAGCTGGTCAGAGACTTGTTGGTTTTGAAGTGAGACTGGAGGCAGAGTGATGGATCAGGAAGGACCGCGTGGTGAGAGAAGCATGAGCCTTACAGCGAGGAAGGTCTGGGCTCCAACCTTAGTTCTAACACTTATTTGCTGTATGGAATATGGTGGGTAAATCTTTGCATCTACCTGGGCCTCTATCCTCTCATCTAAAAGGGAGAAAACTGGAGTGAGATCAGTGAGATGATCATTTAAAACATGGCTAGCACTGTGTAGGTCCTTAGTCACGGCCAGTTTTCACTCAGGGAATGACAGCTGGCGCCATCAGATAGAGAGAAGGGGTAGAAGGGAGAAAGTATAAAGAGAGGAGGGTAGAAGACAGCGACAGAGCCTGGGGCATCCCCAGGGAAAAGAAAGAAGAGAAGAAAAGGGGCAGAGGGAGAACCAGGAAGTGGGATGCATCAGAAGCTAAGAGGTGAGCATTTCAGCATTTCAGGATTCAATAGCGTCCTTTGCTGCAAAGAGACCCAAAAGAGGAGGCGGGTCTCACAAAGCCTTTGAATTTTGTAATAAGAAATAGCAGGTGACTTACCAGAAATAAAGACAGCTGTGAAGACGTTGGCCCATCTTTAGCCTTAACATTAAAACCAGCTTTTTGCACTTGCACTTGAATAGTTAAGTCTCCACGTTCTTGTCCATTATTTCTGTCCATCCCCTTTGGTGAGAGTTCTCTCCAGACCCATGACAGGAGGGAGAGGAGCTTATGAGCTTCTGCCAGCATAAACTGTCTCATTCTCGTCCAAGCCACGCACATTCAAGAAAACAGGCACCATTCCTGAATTGCAGTGGCCAGGAGAGAGATACTAAGCTTAGGACTGGCGGAAACAAGAAGTCGTCTGTGTAGAAGAACGTTCATTTACTGAAATAGCTTTTTTGGAAAACCTCTAGAAATCTGTAGCTGATGGATCTGATTCCAGAAATCTGTTGCTCCAAGATCTATGGAGATAAGGGCCTTGTAATCCTGATCTAGGGAGAGATTTTAGAGCACAAAGCAACTTGGAGCACACGTACAGCTCAATTCAAAAACTGTATTTTTGTTCTCTCTCCAACCCAGAGGTACCTACTCTGAACAGTTTGGTAGGAAACCATGCAGACATTTTCCAACCACTTTTGCTTTCGCTGCTTAAAAGTGGGTTTATTTACCAAGGTGATTTAAGTGCTTGTTTACCAAGAGAGCTTTGAAAGAAGCTTCAAATTCTTTATACATGATGTAGCTTTTATTTTCAAGGATTTATGCAAAAGGAAATGAGGAAGTTCCTCATATTTGTTCATAAAACAACTCATCTGAATTCTGCTACACCATTTAAGTAGATCTGGTTTGTACCTTGGGACTCTTAGGAAATGCCCCCAGCCTTTCGGTGAGGTGAGAAAAACAAGAATATAGTAAGTCTGGGGGATGTTTCTCACCTCTCTATTTTTTCACTTCCATTATTTCAACTTCATACTTTATTCCTGTGTTAAGAAGGAGTATTTATACCAATATGTGTTAAAACATAGATTATAAATAAGTAATTTCTAGAAGTTAGAATCTCAGGAATTATATTTGTGCCTGTCCATTCCGCCAACAATAGAATCAAGACTCTGAAATATTAACAGAAACGTATTTCCTCACCCCAGCCTTCAAACCCTCAACAAAGCTGTTTAAATATCCATTGGCTGAGAGTCTGAATGAACACAAAGCGTCTTTTGGAGACGGGGAGTAGGTCAGGGTGTTTGGGGCGTATATTTTCTTCTGACAAGTCAACCCTCATTTTTGATAAGAGAATTGCTATTTTGAGGTAGTATTTATTGGGAACAGAAAATGAGAAGGGAAAGGAAGGTCCATGCAGGGAAGTAAAAATAATGAAAGGGAATCCAGTAAACTAGAGGAAAGGGTATAAAAGGATGAATCCTCCAGCCTGAGCTGGTAATGGTCTTTGAGCATCACTAAGGCCTTTTGCTTCTCCCATTATCCAAAGAATGATGACTGAAGAGGAGCAAACAAAATAGAGATCGTTAGAAAAAAGATTCCTGAGGCTTTTAGATGTTTCTCTAACATTTGGGGAACATTTTCAGATTTTCAGTGTTCATTTTCTGAGACATGTTAGCGCCTTCAAGGGTCTTCATTACTTAATTTGACCAACAGTGGGCTCCAAACCAGAGGTGCCTGGGAGGAAAGGTATCCAGCATGTTCTACTGTACTGGGCTGCCACCGGGCCCCTGGCTGGCCGTTCCCCATCATGACCATGGGTTTGGGGAACCACTTTTCATTTCAGTGCATGGCTGGCTCTTTAAAGCTCTACTACTTACTTGACTTGATGAAAACCTGTTACCTGCCACCATGGTGATGTCCGCTAAGACAATTTCACTCATATTTTGTTAGCATAATAATTGTCTGTTGGGGCACAAAAAATAGTTGGAAGGTTCTTGAAGGTAACACCCAGGAACAGAGTAGCTCTTTGAGTGATATTAGGGCAGGTGATATTTGTGATATGTTTTTAAAAGCAATTCAGTAAACACTGAGTGCCTCCTGTATGCTAGCAGCTGTGTGTGAGTTTGGTATATGAGCAGAAATAAGAAGTAATCTCTTCTCTCAGGAAGCTCCAAACATTTATTACATGAATAACAAAATAATGAGTGAATTAACAAATGAACTGTTTCTTCTTAGCCCTGTGGTAGTTGGACATAATTTATGGAAAGATTCAGTAAAATCGTTGCAGCAGTTTGGAGCGTGAATTTCTCATTAGTCAAATGTCATCTTTCCCCTTTTTTAAAATCAGAAGGTGAAGATGCTGCAGGAGGGGTTA